CTAAGATTTCTGGAAATGCTTTTCTGGAGGTATTTAAAAAAATATGGTAGAAAATGAGATTAAGAGTATTGATACTAAAAATTCATATTGTATTCCACAAGATATAAAATTGGGTATTAATGATCTTGAAAAGAGAAAGAATATAGTAATCAGAAGTGCTGATAAAGGGGGAAGTATTGTTGTTTTAAATAAGAATGATTATGAAAAAGAAATGAAGAGATTATTACAATCTGAAGATACATATAAAATCTTGCCCAAAAAAATCCCACTAAGAAACTTAAATCTTTACTTAAATGTATTATCAACAAAGGAAAAGATTTGGGGGTATTGACTGAAAAAGAAGCAAAATATTTACTGATTAAAACATCCTAAAATACCTACTATATATTACTTACCAAAAATACATAAAAATAAAGAGAACCCACCGGGGAGACCCATTGTGAGTGGGATAAATTCTTTATTTGCAAGAGTTGGTGAATATGTTGATACTTTCCTGAAAAAACATTGTTATGACAAATAGGGCTTTTTTGAGAGATGGTGGACATCTTATCAACATTCTTAAAGAATTACATAATGTTGATAATTGTATGTTGGTTACTATCGATGTAGAATCTTTATATACTAACATCGATCAAAATGATGGAATTAATGCGGTAAAATGGGCCCTTAAACATAAATCACTCCTTAAAAGATCTCAGAGGAAATTTGTTGTTGAACTACTTGAATTTGCGATGAATAATAATTTCTTTTGGTACAACAACACTTTTTTTCAGCAATGCAAGGGTGTTGCCATGGGAGCTAAGTATGCTCCCAGTGTGGCAAATCTGGTAATGGATAAATGGGAGGAAGAAAGTATTTTCAATAAATGGCCAGAGATGGCGCTATACAAGAGGTATATTGATGACATTATAATGGTATGGGATGGATCCAAAGAAAAACTTGATTCCTTTATGGAATATATTAATATGAATCGTTATGGATTGAGATTCACTGTTATTAGTGATTTTGAGCAAATTAACTTTTTGGATCTAGTCCTATATAAAGATAATGGTCAAATTTGTACCAAAACTTATTTCAAGGAAGTGGACAAAAACAGCTTTATACCTATATCTAGTGGACATCATCCAAATTGGTTATATAGTACTCCAAAAAGTCAGTTTACCAGATTAAAAAGAAATTGTAGTGTTAATAAAGATTTTTTTTGATCAATCTGAGGTGCTAATTGAGAGATTTATAGAGAAAGGGTATGATAAGACCTTTTTGATTAAAGAAAGAAATTCGGTTAGTATTAAAGATAGGGAGACGTTTCTTGGAAATAGAAAGGCTCATTTGGGATTTGTAAATAATGTACCCTTTATTACCAACTATAATATGCAATATAAAAATATTGAACGAATTTTTAAAAAATACTGGCCCATTTTGTTAAAGGATGATATATTGAATAAATTTTTATCTAAAACCCCTAAATTTATTTATAAGAAAAATAAGTCTCTTAGGATGAGATTGGCCCGAAATGTCATCGAACCCCCAAAAAAGTTCGATCTGTTTCCAAATTTAAATGGTTTCTTTCCTTGCAGGAAGTGTAAAGTTTGTAGGACTGTAAAGGTTGGGAATAACAAAAAAAGAAAGTCATTTTGTTCCTTATCTTCCAAAAAAGAATATGATATTAAATCCTTGATTACATGCAATTCTACACATGTGATTTATGTTCTAGAATGCCCGTGCCATTTGAGATATATTGGGAGAACTGGGAGATGTTTAAAAACAAGAATAGGCGAGCATATAAGAAACATAGTAAAAGGATTTGATAAACATAGTGTATCCAAACATTTTAAATTGGTACATAATTGCGATCCGAGCTTACTTACCTTTTATGGGATTGAGATGGTAAAACCCCATTGGAGGGGCTCGGATCTGGTTAATGAGATTTCCAAGAAAGAGACGTTTTGGATTTATGAACTAAATTCGTTGCAACCATTTGGGTTAAATGTCGATATAGATTTGAATTGTTTTTCTCACAAATTTTTAATTTTTAATTTTAATTATTTTAAATATATTTCTACATAGACAACTGTCTAAAGATGATATATGGGAGATTGTATGGTTTCTGTACCTCAATTTCTGTATTTTTTTTGTATTATTATTAGAGTTCCCCTTTATTTGTGTTTAATGTGATACTGGCCCTTTAAGTTCCCTTTCTGAGAGACAGTCTTAGAGGGTACTGGTTCGTTTATGTATTTATTTATTTAATTTATTTTATTTTTATTGTTTCTCTTAAATTTCCTTTTTATTTTTGTAAAGTTTTTTGCTTGTGATGACAAATATATTATGTACATTGTATACCCTCTGTTGACTCCTGTCATCCATGGGGCGGCTTGTTTTGCGTGATTCCCCATTGATGCCAGCTGTTCGTTTCCTGTGAAGTGAATATTTAATGAGGTTGAGACGTCTCACATCCATCCGCTCCATGAGGACGTCGATGACGAAACGCGTAGGGCGGAGCTTGTTTGATGTGACGTCATTACGTTTTTGGCTGCCAGCTATTGCGCATGTGCTGAATAGCCAGGCTCTTTTATGTGATTGCTGTTATGCTGTTGATGCTGGTGTCGGCTGGGACACCTCTTGAGTAAGTGCAATGAGTACCTAATAAAGGAATTGGTTTTTATAATATTGCACCATGAAGTCTTTCTGTTTCTCCCGAGTGCTTGGCATTTCCCCCCATGGATACGATTGAAGGTGGTCTTTTCTTTTGGAGAAGTGGATTTCCGATTAAATTACAAAGTTTCTGATCCTGTTATTTGATCGATGAGGATCGGTGTGTTGCTGAGTTTTCGCTTCTGAAAATATATTTATGGATGATCTGCCATCATATTATCAAGGTTTTTGGTGAAATTCTTCAAGTTTAGACACTTTTTTTTGCACAAAAAGTTTTTTTTTTGCACTTAAAAGTTTTTTTGCACTTTTTTGTGGTATTGGCATATATATTTTTCTGGACTTATGATTTGATGATTTTTTATATATATATTTTTTTTATATATTTATATACATTTACTAGCGCAAATGTTCTTCATCAGTCTAAGCAGATTGAGAGGTTAGAATGACCTAATGGAGAGAAGCTGTAAAGAACAGTCACTAAAGAGAACAAACAACCATTCTCATGTACATGTACAAACAATAACTATAGATTACCTTTTTAAAAAAAAAAAAAAAAAAAAACATGTATTGAAATGATTATGTACTTTTACATGATCACATATATCTAATATATTTTTCAAAATGTCTATTTAAAGGGCAAATAGAAACTTGCAATTGATTTATTTACTGGGAACATAACTCCTTGTAGCTATGAGCAAGATTAAGTAGAACAGAAATGCAGTGGATTTCCAGTATTTGTTATAACTGTGATTAATAAACTACAGAAAGTCTATTTGCATTTTCAGATTGCAAGCTGTGTTCAGTTTCCTGATGTGAATTGGCTGCACAGTGTGTATCTTTGCATGTTACTCTTTTGTATTTGTAACAAATTGTTGCAAATGGAAACCAAATAATTCTTTCTGCACCCTACTGCTTTAAGATCTACATGTTTATTTATGTGTAGTTGCTTAGCAATGGAAAGGACTGAACATTTGAACAAATAATCATTTTGCCTATAAAAAGGTGATTGCTCATTAGTTAAAGGGGACACATTCTGGTTTTATATTGCTGGCTAGATAAACAATTTTGCCCTTAGGACGATCAACGTTTTGCAGCATACAGCACAGCAATGCAAGTATAATGCGGTAAGGGAAAAACTGAGCATCGGCACATTGTTTGAAAATGTGTTCTTGGCAGTTAAAAATGCATTGGCTCTCTGGCAACAATTATTTGAAAAGGGAGATAAAAAAATGGCAAACTGCTTGTGCTGCAGGCTGAAATCCCTGTTATCCACCAACCCTCAGGTCAAATGGTCACTGGCTTTTCTTAAGATGTTTTTGGATTGCTTTTGTATATCCCTTCACAACTACTATGTCTTTAAAGGAAACAACCTGCTTAGAAAAATCCTTCTCACCCTTTTTGAACGAGTTTTTGGATGCCACACTTACTCGATGCCTAGATAGCATACATATAGACTGGCCATACATTATACAATTTTCTCGTTTTTCATACAATGTTCTTTTTGAATTACCAAAGTCATATAATATGAGGTCAGATTTAAACACTTTCAATTTGTGTTTCAATGTCTGTCTGATTGCATAATCAGACAGACCCTTGCACTACATAGTTGAAGGTAAATCTAAAGGAAGTAGAATGAGAAAATTCTATAATGTATGGCCAACTATAGAGTAGCAGCAATTATATACTAAACATGTGCACATGTGCTCACAGGCTAAAACAAAGGCACCTTCATACAGGCCATAGACGGGTTGGAAAAAAAAAAAAAGAAAAAGAAAAATCGGTAGTTTAATAAAAAAAAATCGTCCGATTTTCATCCTGTCTACGGCCGGCATTTAATTACTTCTGTCCCTGCAGAAAGCTCCGCTATTATATTTGACATGAAAAAGTATTGCGGTTGCAACATTGTATCTATTTGTATCCATTTCGGATACAGATGTTTTTATTCGGATACAAATAGATACAATGTTGCAACCGCAATACTTTTTCATGTCAAATATAATAGCGGACTGGAATTCTTAGTCTTTTTCTTCTTCTTCTTCTGTTTCTACTTCTTCTTCTTCTTGCAGGTCACGGCTCATGTGCAGATTTTTTATCGGTTTGCCCATCATTGCCACGGAAATCGGCCGATCGGCAAAATTGGATGATTTTTTTCCAACTTTACCAATAAAAAAATGTGCCAAAATCCCGAAAAACGGCCAACCAATTAACCCACTAACGGTGCGAAAATCGGGCGATTTTTTTTTTCAACCCGTCTATGGCCTGCATTAGTTAAAAGAAAACTAATTCACCCTCCCTAGTCCCCTAAACTAAATATAACCCCCCACCAGCTGCTTACTTACTTGAACATGCCATTCAAGTCTTTGAGGGTCCACTGCATAGGCATTGGCATCATGGAAGAAGATTTCCTCCTGGAGGATGTAAACAGAAGAGGGTGTTGTGCAGGGGCGGACTGACAACTCATGGGGCCCCCGGGCAATAGGGGATCATGGGGCCCCTGTGTCCTTGCCCAAACTCAAAAAAGCCTATGAAAGAGGTACCAGGGGCATCTCATGGGGCCCCCTACTGACCCCGGGCCCTCGGGCAGTGCCCGAGTTTCCAAATGGTCAGTCCACCCCTGGTGTTGTGGCTGACATGCTGAGGTAGTAAGGTATAAGGGACAAAATATTCCCTATTATACTCTACTTAATGAATCAGTGACAGTGCAAGCTTTTTATAATAGAAACAAAATATGTACAGTCTGAAGGAAAGAAGGAAAAGAGGAGACATGATCGAAACATTTAAACACATCAAGGTGGTGATTAACCACTTGATAACCGTGCTATAGCAAAATGACAGCTACAGCATGGTTATCCAGTTCTGGGAGGGAGTCATATGACATCCTCTCAGAACACGCCCTCCCGCGCACCATCAGCGGAGCACAACCAGCGATCTCGGTGCTCGTTATGTCCTCCGTACACAACTGATCACGTGATGAGGTAAAACGCCAATCACAGCTGCAAATCCAATGACACAACAGATCATGGAGTAAATATAGTTGCCGGTTATCGGCAGCACTTTCCTCATCCTGTTACAACATGAGGAAAGTACTGCCGATAACTGGCAGCTGTCACAGAGCAGATCGGCACTGATCATCATTGCCCTGCAGTGCCGCCCAGAAGTGCCACCCACCAGTGCCCAGCATTGCCACCCCTCAGTGCCCATCATTGTCCCCCATCAGTACCCCCCCCAACACTGCTGCCCAGCAGTGCCCAGAAGTGCCACCAGTCAGTGCAACCAGTCAGTGCTGCCAGTTAGTGCCATCAGTCATTGCTTTCAGTCAGTGCCACCAGTCAGTGCTGCCAGTTAGTGCCATCAGTCATTGCTTTCAGTCAGCACCACCAGTCACTGTCACCCATCAGTGCCCATTAGTGCCACCCATCAGTGCCCATCAGTGCCACCTATTAGTGCCTATCAGTGCCGCCTATCAGTCCATCATTGCTGAATATCAGTGCAACATCATCAGTGCCTCCTCATCAATGCCCACCAGTGTGCCTCATCAGTGCCACCTCATCAGTGCAGTCTATCAGAGCACGTCAGTGCTGCATATCCGTGCCACCTCATCAGTGCCCATCAGTACTGCCTATTAGTGCAGCCTCATCAACGTACATCAGTGAAGGAGAAAAGTGAATCGTTCACAAAATTTTATAAAAGAACAAAGAAAAACTTTTTTTTTTCAAATTGTTTTGCTCTTTTTTTTCTTATAGTGAAAAAAATAAAAAAAACAGTGGTGATTAAATACCACCAAAAGAAAGCTCTATTTGTGTGAAAAAAATTGTAATATGGTTACAATGTTGCATGACAGTGCAATTGTCATTCAAAGTGAAACAGCGCTGTCGGTGAAAATTAGCCTGGGCACGAAGGGGGTATAAGTGCCCAGTAGGCAAGTGGTTAGAGTTCAGGAGGGCAGTATTATCAATATGAAGCCAAGATCAAAACTAGTAGGAGAAAAGGTCAAAACTAATCTTAAAAAGTATTATATTACCAAAAGAGCAGTTGATTTTATGGAATAGGTTTCCAGCAGAGGTAATTGGAACAAACATAAATCTATACTAAAAATCAGATATATAAAAAAGGACTCTATGGACCACTTGGTATTTTTTTGCTGTCATTTTTCTATGTTTCTATAGTTTGCAGTTTGTTTAAGCCTTTTTCTTGATAGGCAAAAAAAATCAGCTTTCGAGACAAGTTGACAACTTTTCTTGATAGGGCATCCCACCAGTCAGTCTTCTAGCCTTTGGGAGCACTCAGTCTCAACCCTACAGTATGTAACTCTGTGTTGGTCAGTGTCAGAGCTTACACAGTTTAACAAACATCTTCCCTTTCTCATGTGACAGTATTTGGCCCTAGGGTTGGCTGCTTGGACCCAAGCACAGCACCCTAGGAAGAAGGTCATAAGCACTGAGAAGAATATCACAGGTTTCCCCGTACCTAGAAATACTGCATATTTCTAAGTGCCCCTGTAGTTGAACAGCATGATATATGGCAGAGTATCAGTGGGTGAATGGTAGTGTTGAGGGGGGGGGGGGGGGGGGGGGGGGGGGGTAATTCTCAAAGGGATAGATTTTCTTTAAAAAATTGGCATTTTTTGCCTAGATGCACTTGACATTCACAATGACCCAGACTGTGTAGCAAACTAGCAGTATTATTATTACTAGCTTTCTGTGGAACAATATTACCCTAGAGTCAAACTATCCACTTACATTCTCATGTATAGTGGAGAATTCACCCTTCTAAACATTTTCAGGTATTTTTTGGCATTGCAGTTAGTCTCTGCCCATTGATGCTGGTCCTTGATAGCTAAATGCAGCAATGATTTTGGAAGTAAATCTGGGTTCCTATAAAGGTATGCATAATTTAGAGTATGCTGTTTAAAATGCCCTTTACTGGCTTTTTTTGTGCAAAATACATTTAGTCCCTGGCTGTTGTGTATACACAATAATGTATAATTAACAGAGGACCACTTTCTTCACCCCTCTCTTTTCAGAAAATTCTATACTATTCTCAAACTGGTGATTTTTGGACCTGGAAAGGTTTGTGCCACATTGTCAAACAAAATCAATTGCAGCTGATGGAAAATCTCAATGGATCTTTTGGGCTGGAAAATAACTGCCTATTTAGGTTTTTTATAGTTTAGATGTACTTTTAATACACAATTCAAAACGTTCCCTCCTGTCATAAAATGTACTGACCTTGAACATTTATTGAGAAAAGAACAGTTTAAAAAAGCAATGTAACATATATATATACAAACTTCTCAACTTTGCTTCCTCTAATGACTCAGTAGCATGCAAAGAAAAGTAGGTAACTGATATCTATCAACTTGACAGTAAAGACTGGAAGCATTCCTTTTCTTAGCTAGTGTCTGTAAGAGATAATGTAATTTCATATAACTGCACATAATATATCTGACACGGGTCTTAAAGCAGGTCTTCATGCCCCCAGATCTCCTATGGCTTTTTGTACTCCTGCCCTCTTCTTCAGTATGAATCGATTTGTTTTTTTGTTACTTTTTTTGTTTGATTAATGCTTTTTTCACACTTTATTTCTGGCCCTGCCTCTCACAAACATTCTTACCTAGGCCTCTTGCCTTTTCCCTTTTGCCCCAGTCTCCTCGAATTCCTCATCACATATCACAGGAGGCTTCAGGTGTTGGGTCTGAAAGGGGTTGGTGGGCAAAGCTGTGCTCATCATCAGAGGCCAGCTGCTTGAACCCTACCTCCCATGACTGAGGAGTATCAAGATGGTGGTTCAGGACTCAGGCTGCTACATCTGATTAGTGGATTACAGCAGAGCAAACTTGATCCATTGGGCAGGTGAGTATCTAAATCGAGGACAAGCTTGGATAACAGGTAAATGAGAATTAAAAAAAAAAACATTTCAGAGGATCAAGTGAAGTTCCTCTTTTAATTACTGCCTGTGCCCCTGTTAGGGAGATTCATCCTCTCCAGAGATGGCTGTAGGCTTTGTGAGGCCTTAGGAAAAACTTAGGTCCCACTCACGCCCATCTGTCTGTCTGTCCATCCGTCCATCAGATATGCAGAAGGCCTTCCCACCTTGAGATCCTCATGAGGTTAATAGGCAGGGTGATGTGGAAGACATAACCTCACTCATCATTGGCTGGTGGGTGGAGCTCCAGAAGTCTGAGGCCTAGTGCACACTGCTGCTCATAAACACGAGTTGAAGAGCTTTCGGCATTTTTTTGCCAAAGCTCTTGAATTCAACTCAATAAAAGCCAAGGTTTCCATGCATCCATGAGTTTAACAGCAGCAGGGTTTAGGGCAGTTAGACATCCATCTCCTGAATGCAGAAAAATCACGTTCAGGAGAGGAATGTTTTGGGCAAAACAAGCTAAACACGCCTACTCGCTAACCGCGTTTAGGGTTTGGGAGTTTATTAATTTCAATGGCAAGTACTCAGGCCCCCGTCCCTCAAAACTGGGGTAATGCATTGGGCCAGAGGCATAACTAGAACCTTCAGGGCCCTGATGCAAAAAACTAAGAAGGGCCCCCGACCCAAGCCCGGGGCCCTTCTCTCTTAGCCTGGGGACCTTTACTCCCATTGAGGGGCCCTTTATTATTTTCCCGTAGCGGGACCCTTTCACATGTTTTGCAGCAGACCCTCTTCCTGCCGTTACATTAGAATCTCCTCTTACGTCAGAGTCCCCAGCTTTTCCAGAGCCCCCTTTACATCAGAGTTACCCTCTGCAGTACAACAGAGTCTGAAGGATTTGTCTCACAATGACCCTGATGTAAAGGAAAACTCTGTGGACCCTGATGTAAAGGGGAATTAGGTGGACCCTGATGTAAAGGGAAACTCTACGGACCCTGATGTAAAGGGGAACTCTGATGCCCCCCTTACATCAGAGTTTGCAGAGTTCCTTCTTATCTCAGAGTGCGCAAAGTTTCCCCATGGAATGTAAGGGAATGAACCCTGCTGACTCTGTAAGTAGGAATGCTGAGAACTCAGATGTAAGGGGAGGGGGGGGCTCTTACACCTGAATTTCCCTTTACACCAGAGTCTGCAGAGTGAATACACTAAGGTAAGGGGTTCACTGATGTAAGAGGGAAGTGAGGACACTGATATAAGGAGGGACCTTTACATCAGTGCCCCACCTTACTTTAGGGTCTCTCTCAGTGACCCCCCACAGAGAGAGTGACTGCCTGACTACAAAAAAGAGCTGTCACACACTAACCAGTAAGTGTCTACAGGCCTTGGTCCTCCTCTTCTTTATGCCCCCTCCTTTCCGTTGCTTTAAAAAGAAAAGGTGCCTTGCCCCAAGCTCTTCCACCCCACTCACCCTCCTTGCGCACCTGATCAGCGGTAGCCGCCCCCACTCACACCGAGCCCAGCCTTGACCTAGCCAAGCTCAGCCTATTATTAATCAGCCACTCTGGAACAGCATTCATGCACAGTTCTGGAGCTGACCGATTATTAATTTGCTGAGCTCAGCTCAGGCGGAGGATCGGGCTGCTGCTGGTTAAGTGCCCAAGGAGGGGGGCATGGGGCGAAGAGAAAACTCAGGAAAAGTGGAGTTTTTACGGGCACTTTTCTGCTGTTTACAGGCAGAAGAAAAATGCC